CTGTGTATCCCTCCCCTCCCAAAATTAACAGAAGACACTGCATTTGTTCCATTTTTCCTGTTAATACTACAGTACTTTCAAGATGCTTGTACTTTATTTTTTTAATATCACTGATCTAGAAATTGATATTTCTATTGAGTTTTCTTTTTTTGATCTAGTAGCCCAAAATTCTTTAAAAAACCTCCATATAAGTCCCTGGTAAAGTCATGGCCAAATTAAGGGGACAGTCACCGTCTAACCTTTGGCAGCCAGCTCTTCTCTCTATTAGCCAGGTGTAATTAGTGAAGCGTGCAGAGGATAATTAAGCAGTCTTCAAAATGAAGTTGATTTATTCTTAATTGTCTTCCCTTACTAAAATCTAGAATAAGTAGAATAATGGTATTCTGTTGTTACTTAAGTGGAAGTGCTTTGTGGGGAATTTCTGAAAGTGTATTCAATAAACATAGGAATTTTCTGTTTAAAAGTTTAATAATTCAAGTGCAGTTTGGTTTTGTTATATTTTGTTACATGTTGCATGTTCAGCAAACATTTATTTTAAAAGTACGCAGTCACCTTCAGAAAAGGTAATTGGTGGAGAAGCCTGTATAAATGTATGTTTAGTAACTTTGCTCATTCTTAAGTGTGATATGATTATACAGGTATACAGTGTGTGCCACTTCAGAATCTGTAAGGCAAATATGAACTGTATTCAACCATTATGTTGTTTGGAGTTTTCTTAAAAGTACCTTTCCTATAATGAAGGTAGTCTAATTGTTAGAAATCGCATGACTGAAATCAGTCAGTGCCTTTACCTCAAGTTCTTACTGAAGTCTGGCTCCAATAGCAGTTCAGTGAAGCCAGAACTTTACCCAATGTTACTTTTTAAAAAAAAAAAAAACTGTCAAAGAAAAAAGATGGAGTTCTTTAAAGGAAAGTAATTAAAAGAATCAAATAGAAATACTAAAATTTGTGGAGAAGCACTGTTTAAATGATGCATACTTTATTTTTAGTTGTTTGCCTATGGGTTCCCATATTCGAATCCTCCGAATGCAAGACCCTGAAAGAGGCCAAAGAACATTGAATTTCCAAAATAGGAATAACAAAGATGAAGATGAATAAGTATCTCTGTGTATGAATATGGCATACTGTTGAAGATGAAATACATAATGATGTGTGTAAAGTTATTACTTCCTGATGCTGAATAAGAGGATCTTTTGTTAGATACTCTGAGGAAGAGGTTCCTGTATTTTTTAATTTTTTTTTTTTGAAAGAATTACTGTGTGTGTACAGACCAAGAATAAGCACAGTTTTGAGACGAGAAAATCCTGAATGTTTACTTGATATTTTTAACTACCAACTTGTAGTAGAATTTTTTTATCAGTTTCTCTGTTTTTTGTTCTGGGAAAGATTAAATATATTTTGTATAACTATGGAGTAATATTTTAATAAACAGTGAGAACTGATACTTGTGGTAATGTTTCAGTGTCTCTGCACACTTAAAATCATCATCAAGTTAAAAATGTTGGTTTCTTCTATCTCTGCTTTATTTCTTAAACATGTGCTAATTAATACATGCAGTAAAACGTGTTTAATTTTTTTCCAGTAGAATCACAGCAGCTGAACATGGAGTTATTAGTATTAATTAGTGTATACTTTCATAATTAGAGAAGTGAAAAATTTATTTGTAATATATTCTCTGGGCAGTAAAAAGTGTTTATTTCTTCCTAAAGAGTTTATAGGGAAGAGTTTAAATTTTTCTGTATGTGAGCTTACAAAACCTGGCAAAATGTGGCTTTATAAATTTAGATTCTTATTTCCAATAAACTTAAGTTCTTGCACAGTCTGAGGTTGCAGGTATAGACTCAGTCTGCAGATACTCATTATATTCTAATAAACTGAAGTGATAGAAGTCCTTCCAATATAGAGGAATGAAATATCATAGGAATTATGGGAAATAACACGGCAACTTCTCCACAGCGTTGTAGGCCTGCGTTTTGTTGGGTGTCACTGTCCCTGCCCATCTCCCCTCCCATGCTCCCCTGAGACTGTATGAGAGCCATTAAAATAAACTTGCTTTAGTTAAATAATGTAAGCATCTACTGGGGATAAGAGAAAGAAGAACCAGATTTTTCAAACTGCCCAGACTACTTTTTTTCCTCTTCTGTTCTCCTTTTTTCAGGAACATTAAATTGTTGGGAGCTCTTCAGAAATAATCACTTAGAGCTCAGCCATTAGACATACTTCTTTTTTTTTTTTTTTTAAATCTTATGGGGATACAAAAGCCATTGAGACTATTCAGAAACAGTTCTGCAGTTACTTACCAAATAAAAATTCCTCAGTAAAACCTCACTGCAGTGTAAGTTTTAACTTGACTTTGTAGCCAATTTTGGCTTTAGCTGCTGCATGGTATTTTGTGTTCTTTAATGTTACGTTTTTATTCAAGGATGTATTGAACTTGTAGATATCTCTAAAATACGGAAGCTAGATAAGAATTGAAGGAAAATACACTGAGAAAGCTATTTGCAGTTCTAGTGCATTCTAACTGTAGGAATTAAGTCTTTTAAATGCTTCAGATATTTACATTTTAAAGCCTGTAGTAATGGGCCAACAGACTCATAGCAGCAGCCTTGAGGAGATTACTTACAAAAACAGGGCCAGGCTTTTTGTTGAAGTGCATAGCAGCAGACAGACAGACAGCAGTCATAGACTGAAGTGTGGAGGTTCTGGCTGGATAAACCGGGAGGGGAGGACTGTTCATGACAAAGATATGATGCAGTTGAGCATATTGTCCTGACAGGCTGTAGAATCTCTGTGCTTGGAGGTTTGTCAGGGTCTGAATAGACTGTTGTACCTCCTTCTCAAGCAGGTAGTTGGACAAGAGACCTTTGGAGGTCCATATCAAACAAAATGATTCCATAATCCTGTGATTTGATGTAATCGGTATGAAAGATATTTACAACTTCATGATTATGTGAAAATAATGGGGGGCCTCACATTTGTTAGCAAAA